AATAAAAGTCTCTTTGTGAAATTTGTTATTTTCTGTACATTGTGTGATGGTCACCTTGCTTTATGTGATGAGATGATCCTGAAAGGAAGGCGCAGATTGACACTGGCAAATTTAACATTTCCCGTTTTTATGTTTTAATTAAAATGTCAGGAATGAGTCCTTTTCCATTTCTCATTGCTCTTCAATTGGCAGTAGGAAATTTTCCAAAGCCACAAAGTCTTTTAGGAGAAGAGCCAGAACAACAATTTACGTTTTCAAACACCGAAGTATAAAGCATTTTTCCATCTCCAAAACAAATTGCTTATGGAGTAAAACATCTGTGGAGGAGGTGTTCCTAATGTGGAAGACACCTGTGCTTTAAAATGACTTTCCTTGAATGATATAAATCAGGAACATGATAATTTATTATGATACATGTGTTAACTGATTTTATTCTCTTTGGCACCATTTTCATTCTTTTACAGACACTATTGCCTTCCAAAATTGTAAAATTTTGAGGTTTTTTTTTTCCCCATTTGGAATTTTCAATAATACTACTAGTTGCAAAAATTTAAGAAGGCAAAAACCTACAATGACACTTTAAAGGAAGATCTCATTATTTAAAAGCCCAGGTATGCATGTTTAGCAAAGTGTTTAGTTGTCAATGTCAACTCTTTCAGGGTAAGAATGAAGTCATGTTCACCAGTGTGTCTTAGCACCCAACAGCATGCCTGGTATAGAGTCAACCTTATTTTGAATAAATGCATAGAGCAGCCTTATATGGTGGTAAACAGGAATGCAGGGCAGATATTAACATTTCTGTTTTATTGATATGGAAACTAAAGCTTAGAGAAGATTTGCCCAAGTTTTATTCCTACAGCAATATGTGAGAAAATTCATGCCAAAATCCCAGTATGTCAATTAATGTTTCACATGGCAGATTCTCATTCTAATGAAAGGGACTTGCATCAATATTCCCCAATAATTATCCCAGTACAGTTTATGATTTCTCCTTATCAAACATCAATTTATGTTGAGATCCATGAATTATTATTGTCACCTAGAAATAGAAAAGAATTTGTCTGATTGTATACAACCCTGGTAAGGGCATTTATTGTTTAATTCTAATGTTAAATAAAGGGAAAAAAACATGAATCTTTAAAACTATGGGCAGAAAAAGCTGGAAGAGCTGCACATGACATTCTGCTTGGCCATTTGATATGCAGGCAATTTTTATGTGGTAGGAAAAGGCTTTCAAAGGGATAAGTGGATGAATGTAGTTGAATAAGGCATAATAAGCCTCAGGATGATGTGGAATGTCATCACCTCCTTCACCCTTCTGCCCACATTGTACTTATATATAATATTTAATTAAATATTGATAAACATTTTAATTACACTAAACTAACCAATATAATCAATGAAAAACTCTTTAAAAAGTAAAAGAAGGGACAAAATATAAATTTTATAATAATAACAGGATGCACTTATTAGGTACACACTATATCAGATACCAGGGGCATAAAAGCGAGTAAGACACTCTCCCTGTTGCTCACAGCCTGGTGGGGATAGAAGCCCCTATCATTGCCCTGCCAGGGATTTCCTCCTCTAACAGCACACTCTTCCTGGAATGTTCCATTTCCTTCAAGCACAATTTTTGTATGTAACTTAAAACCAAAAGCATTTGCAAGTACTCATCTATCTCCTTTTGTCCTCATAAAAGTCATGTTTGATCTGTATGGAAAATATTCTAATTATATTGTTTTAATAAATGAACTGACAGAACTTGGTTTTTTTTTAAAAAACTCTAGCTTCCTAACTTCAGGTAATATGTGGATACTTTCCAGTACAACACAGTGAATAGGTAGAAAGACGTTGGGTGGTCCGTAAGGTACAGAGACCTGGGTCTGATTCCTGACTGGGTTACTTAGCTTCTCTGGTTTAATATCTTTATTGGAAAAATGGGGCAAAGACTTACTTTGTAGGTTTATTGTAAGGATGATAAATAATATAGGCAAAGTGATGGGCTCAAAGTAGTTTTTCAATAAATAATAGCTGCCATCCTGATATTGCCTTTGAATATAACAACTTTTCAAAAAATACATATTTTTATGAAAAAAGAAAACCTTTGTTTTCCATGTTCATTTTAAGGAACAAAGTTAGTCTTTGGAATCTAGAATTACAGTAAAGTGAAAAAAAATTAGATTTTTTATAGAAAATAATATTGAGTAGGGGAAGGAAATTTCACTAAAGAGACTTACAAGTGGCAATTGCTCTATTTCACATTGCAGTATATTACACATTGTCATTAACTGCAGCCATAATTGTTCTATTAAAATATTAGCATACAACTATAGAGAATATCATAATGGGAAGGAAAAAAAGGGAAGAAATCTCAGTTACACCCAAAACATATTTATGCTTCAAGCTCTAACGAACAAAAGTGAATATTTAGTTGAATTTTAATATAATTTTATATGAAATTTATTTTTATTCTATAATGCACAATATGTCTTTATTGATCTCACTTTTTAAAAGTCACTCGTTATGTTGTGAAAATCATGGTTTTTACATAGTTTCTGTAATCCTGAGAGTATAGCATAGTCAGGATTGTGTCAGGAAAGCAGAGCCACCATGAGTCTTATGGGAAATAGGGACCTTGCCACAGAAACTACACTTTACAAAGAAAAGGAGCAGCTAGGAAGGGATGGGCTGTGAAGGAAGTCAAGGAAGAGAGCACATCACTTTCCGATCTTCTTAGAGACCTGGCATGGATGGAAGGTCAGAGCTTGCAGGGAAATGCGACCACCAACATGGGGCCCCAAGAAGCCCCGGGAGAGGTCCACGGGAAGCCACAGCTATGACTCGTGGGTCAGCAGCCAGGGTGCCGGTGGTGGGCTGGATGATATTTTAAAAGTGTGTTTTTTCACATGTTCAGAGACTTATGTGTCATAGAAATACAGAATTTTAGAAAGGACGGGGGGTACTCATTAGAAATTGTCAAGTTTAAACCCTCAATAGATAAAAAGAGTGAGGTTCAAAGACAATGAACTTGCCCAAGGGAGAGGATATAAAGGGGAGATATAAAATGGGTGAAGAAGAGGAGACAGCAGGTGCTTGGTGCTGAGGGTGGAGCTGATGGGACATCCTTAGGGAGAAAGTGTAAGGCTGGGCAACAGCCAGTTCAAGTCAACCAAGAAACTGGCAATTACTGGCAGGTGATGCTAACCACTGCTGCAGAGAGGTACCCTGGGAATTATTTGGAGGAAGGAGAGAATGGCTCAGCCAAAAAATAAAATGCCTTTATTCTGAGAGATCTTCAAGCACCTGGGAGCTGGCCTGGGGAGAGGTATGTCTAGGGCTAGGAGAGAACTTTTACTGAGGGAAAAGGGACCCCGAGGAGGTTGGGTGAAAGCTGGTGAAGTCAGAACTGAGATTAGAAGTATGGTTTCCTAACCAAAGCTTGTGCTCCTCCCATAGCACCATTGAATCTAAACAATAGTTGTCTGGTCGGTAGGGATCAAAGAAGATGAACTATTGGCAAGGAGGTTAAATTAGATAATTTCTAAAGATTAGCCCCAAGATCCTGCCATACTGGCTGCTCATTCTATAATGTAGGAAAAAATGCTGATATGGGGTCTTCCCCAGAACATTATTGAGCCCCACTCTATGCTTAAGGCTTGCCTGAATTTGCAAAACTGCATAGTGACAGTGCTGGGGTAATATTTTGGGACTGCTTACTTTGAGTTCTATTCCTTTAAGACAAGCTCAATTAATCTAATTTTATTATACAAATGTTAAAATCATGGAAAGAATTGGAACAAGAAGTTGAAATTATGGCCCCTGATGTCCCAAACAAACTCTACTAAACATATGTACTTCTCTTCTTTCTATGATTTGTTACAGAAGAATCAGTTCAAAACCCTGAGAAATGAGGAATAGAACACAAATGTGAACCTTAAATACCTTAAATAATTTACTGAATGAAACCATGGTACAATTAATTTACAAAGAGGAGACTTGAATTCATAACTACTGGAATCTCTATTTAACACAAGTTCTGTGATTGCTGAAGGGTTAAGTGCCAAAGTAAAGAGGAGACACAAAAAATGCCTGATGTTTTTGTGGAGGAAATTAAATATAATCCTATCAAATCCACAGCCTATAGGGGCATTAAAATTATCATAAATCATTGTTGAAATTATTTAATTTCTAGAAAAATAACTCAGAAACAAATAATCACATTTCTAAATGTACAAAATCTATTAATGTAATTTGAAGGAACAGTAGTTTGCATTGCTAAACTGCATTTATAGAATGTACAATGTTTGCACAGAACAAAACCTGAAACAAAAATTTAAATTTGTTCTTAAACAGAACTCAACTACATGTTTCAGATTAACTTTCAATTCAATCATTTAATAGCCAAAGCACTTCAGCAAATACTGAAGAATAAACATGATCTGTCTACTCTAAACTGTTATTAATACCATACTTGCGTATTTGTGTTTCATAAGAAGAAAAACATAGGGTAATTTAGGTTTAAAGAATGTAGAATTTAATTAATTTAGAGATGTTTCTTTGACTCCAATTTTGATAGAAATAAAGATAAGAGAAAAATCTTTCTCTCTACCTATTTTTATAAACAGTTCTCTTTTATACATTAAGATATTTCCTAACACTGGACATATTTTATGGAAGCAAACTAATACTATTAACATACATATAGAAACAACATTTTGAGTTCCCTTTCTCTTTGCCTTGAAATGGAATATAAACGCCAAAAAAATCATGTAATAAATGTGAAATGTCTGAGCAAACAATTAACTCCACCCGAAGTTTGCATTACAAAATTATCTTAGATTTTCTACTCATTTTAGAGATGAAAATATTACCCCCAAAAACATTTCTAATTTTAACAAAATCAAAATATAACCAAAACATTTAAAAGGATGTAAAATTTTAAAATAGCTAAAAGGAGAAAAACCTTAACATTTTATCAGCTTTTATGTTTAACTTACCTTGTGAAAAGTCAGGAGATTCTAACTTTAGAGTCCTGTCTGTGCAGTTTCTCCCAAACTCAGCCCTGATGGTGAGTTTTCTCTCTGAGTTTTTATAGTCTCAGTTATACACCCCTTACTCCAATCCCTGCCTTTGCTTTCTCTTACATCATTTCTACAGATTTTCCACTGAACATTTCCCCAAGCCTCTTTTCAATCTCTCTCTCTCTCTCTGTTTCCTCCTCCTATTCTTTCTCTTCGTATTTATTATGCCTATTGCTTTGATCATGGCTTAGTAGTAAAAAATGGGAGTTGGGGCTTTGGAAAATTTAAGTATACATTTAATATTGTGCATCCAGCCTTACAGCCATGACATCTTCCTGAAGTTTTTGTCCAGCTCAGATAATTACAAACCATATTTTGGAAATTCATTGTACTAAGATTTTTTTTTTAAATCAATAGGGTATTTCAAACTAAGATTTTGGGAGATTATAATCAGAAACCAAAACTGATTTATTGTTGTATGTTTTGGACCCTTAAAGGATCATGTATGGAAATGGTGAGCAGTTTCAGCTCCGTCAGGTGAACAGCGCTGTGTCAGTGGAACTGACAGCTACTTCGTAACTAACATTGCTATACTGGGAAGCTGTCACTAACAAACCTAAAAATACTGAACTGCAACATGTGGGCTATAAATGCAGACGTTGTGATCACTCTTATCTTGCTCTTGTTGTCTAGTATTTTAATTTCCTTTTAACCAAAACATTCCCCTTCCTCTGTCTGAAACTTTTCTCCATTCCCATTTCCTACTATCTCTATATGCAACTTCACATAGACAAATTGCAAAACAATGTTATTAAGTCCTAAAGGTAGTATGCTAATGTGTTAGATCATTATTAGCTCATTTGTCTCACCAGCAGGTCCCCATTTGATAGATAAAGAAACCTAGGCTCAATAAACTGAGTGACTTTAGGAGATCACACAGCTAGAAGTAGTAGCAGAGCCAGATTTCAAATACAGATCTTAATTACGTATCCAGTCTTTTCCCACAAGTTCATTCTGTCTCACTATTTAAAAAGCTAGAAGAGAGAATTCAAACCATATTATGTTTTTGCACAAATAAAAATAAATTTGTTCTTTTTGGTTTTGCTTAAAAAGCCATTTAAAATTCTACTCACCAGTATAGGAACTATTACATGGTTAATTTGGATCTCAATGGGGAAGTGACCAGAGCACACTTGAATTGGTGGAACAGTAAAATGCTTCATTTTTATGAAGGGTTTCCAGGGATAACATATGTCTCAACAAGCTTGAAATCTGAGTAGTTGGCAGTGATAGTCCACAAGTCAAGATAAAAATACAGCCTAATTGTGGACTCTTGTTTAGACATTACTGCCATAAAATGATTATGTTAGCTTGAATCCACATGATGGAAAACTCTCAATATAGATTTAACGGATGCATCATAATTCTACCAGAAGCCAATATTCTTGACGTACCTTCCACCCTTATTTGAAAAGCCTCCCTCAGCATGCTGACAAGTGATATCTGTGGCTGATTTATTCCAGATCTGTCCCTGCTTAGACAGTCCAAAGATTCCACCCTATTTGTGGATTTTGTTGACCTAATTCAAAAGTTTGACTTAACTGTTCTGCAGCAGCAGAAATAGAAACAGTTTATTCCAGGAACAAAACCATGGTACATTTAAGCCATTGCTACAGGGTTCTGCACATGATACACCCCTATGTAAATTACTTATGCATTTGTACATAATAGAAAATTTCTGTTATCTTAAAAAAGAGGGTAGAAAGGGAACCATGTGAAAAAATAGAAAGAGAAACAACAGTGATGAATGGGAGAGACTGAAATGAGAAAGGGAAACAATATTAATGAAAAGTTTTTCCGTTAGTAGAGCATTATTTCATTCCCATAACAGCCTTGCCAAGAAGGTATCATTATTTATATGCAACAGATAAGAAAATAAAAGCTCAAATATGTGAAATGACTAGCCTAAGTGCTCACAGCTTAAAACGATAGGACTAGGAGTTGTTGCTCTTTCTATCAGTGAGGAATCTGGTAGGAAAAAAATGGTGCATTCAAATTCAGTAATTTGGGGAGAATTTAATGTGGACAGCATGTAGGGGAACCAGAAAGGGTTAAAGGTGATTACAGGGACCCAGAGACAGAAAAGTCTGTATAGAGAAAGTTGGCTGGCAGAAGCCTGACCTTACATCAAGAACCATGTTCAGGGGAAGAAAACTTTGAAGTAAACAACCGAGATTTCACTTTGCTTCCTGGATACAATCTCCCATGGAATTACCTTTGGTAAAACCCAACTGACAAAGGGATTGAGAGGGGGAGATAAAAGACCCAGGACATTATTAACCTCAAAACTGTGCTAAGACCAACGTGACTGCAAGTGCCATTACCTGCATTATTCTCTCATACTTCCTACCATTTTTTTCAAGTCGGGTTTGTTGCAATATAATTTATGTCTACAAAATTCACCCTCTTAAGGTGTACAGTTTGATAAGTTTTGACAATGTAGAAAGTATGTAGCCTTCACTACAATCAAGATATAGAACAGGTCTATAATAACCCTCTCGACCCAAATTTTCTTCATGCCCCTTTACAATCAAACCCCTACCCTACCCCCAGGTCCTGGTAACCACTGATTTGATTTCTGTCCCTATACTTTTGCCTTTTCTAGAAGGCTGTAGAAAATTATATGGTATGCATTCTTTACTATCTGGATTCTTTTACTTAGAATAATGTATCTGAGTTCAATGCATGTGGCTAAATATATTAACACCTTGTTTCTTTTTAATGAGAGTGTTATATTGGATGGAAGTGCAACTTGCTTACTCATTCACCAATTGGTGAACATTTTTTTCCAGTATTTTGGTGATTATGATTAAAGCTGCCATAAACATATATGTAGAGGTCTTTGAGTGGATATATGTTTTCATTCCATCTGGGCAAAATACATAGATTTGGGATATAGCCTTCACTACAATCAAGATATAGAACAGGTCTATAATAACCCTCTCGACCCAAATTTTCTTCATGCCCCTTTACAATCAAACCCCTACCCTACCCCCAGGTCCTGGTAACCACTGATTTGATTTCTGTCCCGATACTTTTGCCTTTTCTAGAAGGCTGTAGGAAATTATACAGTATGCAGTCTTTAGTATCTGGATTCTTTTACTTAGAATAATGCATCTGAGTTCAATGCATGTGGCTAAATATATTAACACCTTGTTTCTTTTTAATGAGAGTGTTCTATTGGATGGATGTGCAACTTGCTTACTCGTTCACCAGTTGGTGAACTTTTTCCCCCCGGTATTTTGGTCATTATGATTAAAGCTGCCATAAACATAAATGTGGAGGTCTTTGAGTGGATATATGTTTTCATGCCATCTGGGCAAAATTCAGATTTGGGACCCCTTGATCATGTGGTAAGCTTATATTGACTTAACTAGAGGCCTGGTGCACAAAATTTGTGCACTGGGTGAGGGGTCCCTCAGCACAGCCTGCCCCCTCTCACATACTGGGAGCCCTCAGGGGATGTCCTACTGACGCTCTCTGTGGGGAACGAGCCTAAGCCGCAGTCTGGCCTCCCTCTGAGGGAGGTGACTGGGTTAATCCGGGGAAGGCACCAGCTCCATCACCCTGCTGCTGCTGCCACTGCTGGCTGCCACAGCCACCAAGGTATTTTCATCAACACGGCGTCCAGTCCCTTCACCACGAAAAAATGACAATTTTTTTAGGCATTTTCAAGATGTGTCTTTCATAGGATATGACATTTCTTTTTTCTTTTTTTTTTAATCCTCACCTGAGGATATGTTTCCATTGATTTTTAGAGAGCTTGGAAGAGAGAGGGAAAGACAGAGAGAAACATCAATGTGAGAGGGACACTTTGATTGATTGCCTTCTGCATGAGCCCTGACCTGGGCCCCATCCAGGGAGGAGCCTGCAACTTAGGTACATGCCCTTGATCAGAATCAAACCCGGACCCTGCGGTCGGCAGGCCCAGGCTCTATCCACTGAGCCAAACCAGCTAGGGCAGGATATGACATTTCTTAGCCCATCCAGCAGCGGACCTTAGTTTTTTTCTCCAGGAGTGTGGTGGAAAAACCCTAGATCACCTTCTTGAATTCTTATTACTCAAGTTACCAAGAACACTGTGAGTGGCGGCATACGGGGGCCAATGAGCGGTCACAAGAGGTGTTTTCTCTGCAGCTCACGTACAGAGGCCCCCCCTGCATTGTGTACACTGGGCTGGGGGCGTGCTGCCTGCCCAGACACCCTCGCTCTGCAGCTGGGGCATGGGACACTATGGGCGCTGCCATCTTTGTGGCAGAGTGATGGTTAATTTGCATGTTACCTGTTATTAGATTAGATAGGAAATAGAAAAAACTGATTTCTAAAATCGCTCTCCCATTTTGCATTCCTACCTGAAATGTGTGGGAGTTCAACATCCTTGCTAGCATTTGACATTATCATTTTCAAAAATTTAGCCATACTAATAAATGTATACCGGTATTTCACTGTGTTTTAATTTATATTTTCTTAATGATGTTGAGAAACTTTTTGTGTACTTATTTCCCATTTCCTATATCTTTTGATGAAGTGTTTGTTCAAATCTTTTGCTAATATTCAGTTCTGAGAGTTCTTTACATATTCTAGATATAAGATTTTTGTGACTTGTGTTTTACAAATTTTTTCCACTCTGTGGTGTTTTTTTTCATTCTCATAATAGTTTGTTTTACCGAATAAGCATTTTTAATTTTGATGAAGTACAATTAGCCATTTAACAAAAAATGGATCATGCTTTTTTGTGTCATAAGTAAAAAGTCAAAAAATAGTTCCCTCACAAAGTTTGCAAAATGTTCCCCTATGTTTTATTTCTAGAAGTTTTTCAAAATTCTTTGGGCTATTTTAGGTCCTTTACATTTCTATATACATTTTAGGATCATCTTATCACTGTACACAAAAGAGCTTGCTGAGATTTTATTGAAATTTCTATAGACCAAGTTAAGGAACACTGACATTTTGACAGTACTGAGTCTTCTTATCT